GGGTGAGAGACAGTGTCAAAAGCCTTCCGGAAGTCCAGGAAGACTATGTCCACTGCTACCCCTGCATCTAATGATCTGGTGATCTGATCGTAAAAGGCCACCAGGTTGGTCTGACAGGACCTGCCACTGATGAACCCGTGTTGGTTGCCCCTAAGCATGCAGTCCCCTGCTGGCCCTGCTCAGGCTAAGGAAGCTGAGCAGTGAGTGCCCAGTACAGCAATTTTACACCAGTATTATACACCAGTATTTTTACACCAGTATTTTACACCAGTATTTTTGCTTTGTTACTTGTGCTTAAAGATAAAAGCATAGTCAAAGTTAAACACTTTTAAATATTTCAGTGAATTAAGCTCTTTGTGTAGAGCCCACAGTCCAGACCAAACATTTTCACTCCCCTGAATATGTCTGCAGTGCAATCTTAAAAATAAAATAAATAAAATGTACTAAAAAGAGGGAAAAGTGTTCCCAATAATCAAATTCAGGTAGAAAGAATAAGAAGAAAATGTGAAACCAAAAACAAACAAACGAAAGCCCAAAACAAGTAAAGAAAAACTTCATATCCCTAAACCATGTCAAAAACGATCCTCTTGTTAAACCAGGAAGTTGAATAAATTTTTTCAACTTAAAGCTTAATTCTTAGAGCCTTAGCTGCAGATCAGGATTCAAGATTCTACTGTTTGCTTAACTCTCCGTATTAATAATTGGAGCTCTTTATAATTGGGACATATAGTTCTGACATAAGGGTCTAGCCCAAAGAAAGGAAAAAATAAAGATGTTATTATTCAAGCAAGTTTATTATTCCCAAGTGCCAACTCACAATTTAAAACTAGTATATAAACTACCACTGAAGAAATTAATAAGGTCTAATATACTTTGCCAGTTGAATCAGGGCTGTAACACGTGTTAGTAGAAATTCAAGCTAAAGTGGAATCACAGCACTGCAAATTTGCCACTGTTACCATTTGAAGGGGCCAGCTGTGAAAGAAGTGTGGCCAGAAACCCAAGGGATGAGATAATAACACTGCATATTTTGGGGCAGTTCCACTGGAAATTGGGAGAGCTGTAACTTAAAACTACCCATCTCTTAATTGAAACTCTATGTCTAGACAGATGCTCCAGGGTGGGAGGAAGAGGCATTTTAATTAGAGCAGCTCCTGGACAGCCACTTTAATTAAAATGCCTCAGTGTCACATATATTCAGCGTCCTGCATTTCAAAATGGATGCAGGGGTGCTGTGTTTTAACTAAAGAATGTTTGACAAGTTTTAGTTAAAGGGCCCTGCCACCATTTTGAAACTTGGGATGCTGAATACACATGACGCTGCAACACACTGGAGCATTCTAATTAGAACACTTCAGCAGCCTCATTTAATCATGTATCCAGGCACCCCTAGAGCAGAGTGGAAGTTCTATGAGTTTAAGATATTTCCTAAAATGGATCCTAGCTGGTGATATAATCAGGGGACATCAAAGTATTCTATGCCTTTTTTATTTTTCAGTGCTATTGTTTGCTTGTTTTCTTTTAATTTCATGTGCCTTTTTAAAATATATATTCTATTATGCTTTCTTTTCAGTAGCAACAATCAAAAGTGATTATGGGTAGATGTAGTTTTTCAATATCTATTTTCTCCTTGAAACCAACTTTTATGGCACTAAGTTGGCACTTATTACAAGTTAGCTTCGATCTATTTCAGTGGTTGTAAACCGGGGGTACGCGTACACCTAGGGGTACTTTAAGAAGCTGTAGGGATTACCGTGGGGGGGAGGGTCCTGTTAATGTACACACCCCGATGGAGGCCTGGGGGGCACATACCCCCCATATGTGTGTGGGGTGGAAGCAGCTGCTTCTACATGCTGGGCTTTGCGCACCGCTGCAACTGCCCCAGGAGCGGTGCAACACCACATGCCTGCCGCCACTGGGCTTTGCCACACCCCCTGCCCTCCCCGCAGCAGAACGCATGTGGCATCACACTGTTCCCAGGGCAGCTACAGAGGCACGCAAAGCCCAGCATGCATCAGCAGCCACCTCCAACCCACACACAGACGGGGGGCATGTGCCTCCCAGGCCTCTGCCGGGGTGCACACAACAGCGGGAGCCCCCCAACCTCCTGGACAAGCCATCTGATTGTCCCACACCCTGGCGCAGCTGGGGCCCCATCCATCCCAATCCCTTCCCCTGTCTATGCCCCACACCCTTCCTCACCACAGGGGGCCTCAATCTTCCCCCACCCCATGGCCTTTTCCCTTCCCCTACAGACTTACCTGCTGGGGGGTGAGGGGTATGCACACATACTTAGCTCCCCCAAATAATTTTAATATAAAGGGGTACATGAGCTGAAACTTCGGGACAGAAGAGGTACACTTGTTAAAAAAGGTTGAAAACCGCTGACACATTTGATTCAAGGTCCACTGTCCACCATGGCTATCCTGCTGAGTTTGATATCTTGGGTAACCTATGTGTCCTTGTGTGTGTGTGTGTGTGTGTGTGTGTGTGTGTGTAATAGATGCATGTCTTGGTAGCTGATGTTAATATAGTTGTTGCTTTCTGGAATTGACCCAGACATTCATGTGTTTATGGTATAGATAATGTCTTCTAAGAGCATTTCCTCATCAGAGGTGGAGCACTCCAGGTAAAGTGTGCATTGCTTCTGTTGGATGCATGATCTGCACAGGGTGGAGGGGTACCACTTGCATGAAGTCCTACTTGGCACAAAGGATTATTGCTAATCAGAAACACTGCTTGTTTTTCACTATACACATCTTGGTCATCAATGCTGCCTTGCTGTGATTCAGGGGGCAAGTATTCTTCAGACTCTTGACTGTCTGTGCTCTGCCTGGGGCATGAGGTGTTTGAAAGATAACTCTTCTAGAAAAATGCACCATGCCACAGCCTTAATGCTTACCCCATTTTTGGGAGCTGTAAGATACTGTTTCTCAGTACAGTCTGTGACCCTGGCAGAATATAGTCTCCTAGCCATTGGTTTTAAATATCTTTCAATTAAAGATAAATTCTATCCGTATGACGGACAATGTTTTTCAGATACCCCTGGAAACCTTGTTGTAAGGTTCACAAGGTAAATGTTTGATAACATGCACAAAACAAATCATTCTTGAGAATTTTCAGAGACTTCTGGCACAGCTGTGACATGGGACTGGCCATAACTGGTCACTTTCAGGGCTGAAATACCTTTTACACTGCTGTTGCAAACAAGCGGTAAAATCCTGGTTGCACTAGGGTCAGCTGCAAAATTCCCATTAACTTCAACAGGACCAAGATTTCATCCATGAGATGTAGTCCAAAGTCCACTGAACTCAAGAAAAAGAGTCCTATATGCCATGGGAACATGGTAGAAAAACATTTGTTTGGGAAATGTGACTTGTTAATGGAGCCTCATTTAATCTAAGTGTAACTATTTGAGGACTTTGGAAACAACCTTCCCTAAGAAACAAGACTCCATTTTAAAATTTTAAATAAAATAAATAGAAACATTCCAAATTCTAAAACCATTGGCTAGAAAGTAAAACAACTGAGAGACTGTGCAGTATCCAGCAGTTTGCAGAAGGGTGCAGAATTATTTGCTGTAATTCATTGGACATTTGCACCTGCTTTTCAAGAAATATTATTCTGATTTGCCTGAGCCTGGCTCTTTTTTCCATGACTGAAGCTGTTGATTTTCCTCTCTATAATCCATTTCTCTTTATGTGCAATGACAGCAGAATTTCATATAGCAAATTTTTATGAGCACTATGATCTGGTATCATGAAACATTTTTTTTTAAATTGCATTTCCATTTTGTTTTCTTTGGTAATCAATATATTTCTCCTAGAAATAATTTTATAGCAAATACACCATTTAAAATGATAAATATACTAGGCTTAAGAATAATAAATACATTTTGCAAAGTAAATATTTGAAAGTTGTTACACACTTTCACTTAAAGATGTATCAAACAGATGGCTCAGGGTGCTTTCCTTCATTAAACTATTCATCTTGCTATCTCACTTCTTGTTGGGTCCTATCCAATTTGTGTTAAAAGAATGACTTCTGGTCTTATTCATGAGAATGGAAGAGAAAAGGGAATTCATCAAAACAATGTATTTGGAGAAAAAGGGAAAAGATGATTGCTCACTACATGAGCTCTCCCTACTGGCCAAACTCAGAACAGTGATTCTGTTAGCCTTCAAAGTGGATATTTCCTTTTTCTATCTGAAAAAGAGTTTTCAACTGAAGAGTATATGAGGAAAGTTTAGTGGGATAAAGATGACTGCTGTGAAGAAATTCGGGAGTCTCTTGCAGCCAGTTTTAGTGGGTAAAAGTAGAAAAAGAAAATCCACCTAGCAAAAGCAAAATATTTTTTCCTTATATCTAAGTAGCAAGTTTAGCTAGCTCCCTCATGTAAAATGGAGATAAAAGACTAGCTAGAACTTCATGCCGTCTCTTCTTTGACTGCCCTGGCAAGCCAGGTAAGGATCTCATGATAGTAACATTCAATCTGGTCATCAGAAGCATTTTTACCAACATCATCAGGAACTTCAGGAGTTCTGAACTTTAGAAACCTGAAGAAGAAATTAAGACAAAGATATATTTTATTTCCTTTTTTTTCCTCTATATTTCATACTTGGCTTAGAGCACATGAAATATAAACATGTTTTCCTCCTCCTTTTGGTACTGCACACTAGTCCAATGTTTCCTTAGTTTGTATTCTTCACGTGCTGGGAAGTCACATGGGTGCAAATATAAGGGCAGTTTTAAAACTTGCTCATTGAGTTTTACTTGTAAATTATATTTTCCTACATTCAATTATTAATTTTGTTATTATTTAATAACTTTTTAATTTCTGTTATTCACCCTATTACATTCTTCTCGCTAGCATTTTCCTACTGTTTTATAATTTGACTCACTCATTTCCCAGATGTTTGCAAAATAATATTCAAATCATCCATTCTATTATAATATAGTAATACTGATGCCAATTCTAAAGCATGAGTGGCTAAACTGATGTAGCATGGCACAATAAGATTCAGTGTCAGAATGTGGAAGAATATAGGATGTGAGAGAGGCAGGAGGATTTGGAAAAGGATTGGAGAGATGCGCCAAATTTCTGTAGGTTAGAACATGTGAATTTGGTGTATAGCATATATAATTGAAAAGCACATAGAAGGGTAATAACAAGCAATTGAATGGCTTTCATGAAAAAAACATCAGGGTAATTGAACTAAAAGGTGAATTGCATCAGTGCACAGATGGGAATTGCCAGCAGGTGCCCAATCTGCTAAATAACAAGCCTTTTTGAAAAGCATTAATTTCCTTCCTTTTCCCTCCCTAGATAATATTTTCACTGAGAAGCCCTCATCAAAATTTTCCCCAATGGATGGAGAACAGACATCAATCATCCCTGTCCATCAGGTTATTGACAAGGTCAAGGGGTACTGCAATGCTCACTCTGACAATTTCTATAAAAACATTATCATGTCAGATACCTTCAGCCACAGCACAAAGTTCTAACTGGTTTCTGAACTTCTGAACCAAAGAAAGAGGAAAAAAGGAGCCTGGAGATTCATAACAATGGAGGAATTGGAGACTGAGCAAGAAGATGTAGTTATTTTTCTTACTTACACTGCCATTCTGTTAAGCAATTCCATACAAGAAGACTTCCCCCATTAAGACTTAGTTGTCTTTGCTAATATGGTTTCAGCACTGACCATTTTCCAGCATGAAATAAAAACTGTTTTCCAATCTGTGCCAGCCAACATGACAGCAGGTTTTACCAGGACAGCAGATTTTAAGTGTGATCCTATACCAAGCAAGAATTCTTCCGCATCCCACTCCACACCCTTTTCTATGTGTGTGTATGTATATATGTATGTATATACACACACAGGTAGGTAGATAGATAGATAGATAGATAGATAGATAGATCACACTTGAATATATATACACAAGACTAAAGAAGAGTTACAAATCCAACTCCAAGTAATTTAGACTGAATTGAAGCAAGACTTGAGTCCTTTGGAAGGAAGAGAAAAAGTCATCTGGAAAATATACAGGCTCTTCTGTGCAGCTTTCTTAATTGATGATCTCTTCTCTATGAATAGCATGGATTTTTCCTCGCTGTATTTCTTAAACTCTTGCTGCTTGGCTATCCACTACTGCAGTGTCTTTTCACAGGTGAAGAAAACCCTAACTCCAGTCTCAAAGAGTTACTCTTACCAAATAAATAAACCTCCAGGCCTAATAATACAAAGGAAACATTATTCAAATTTGCATATGAATACTAATCTGAAAACTCTGGACCTTCTGGACCAAATTGAATCCTTCTGTATAGAAAAACACCAATCACACTAATCGGTAGCAGTATTTTCTTGCTGATATGGGAATGCAAGTTAGTGATAACTCCCCACATTTAAGTCCACCTACATGCAAATGAGGTTTGAAATGATAAAAAATTGGTAAATGAGGTATTCCCATGCTTACACAATGTCAAATGCCTTGATATTCATACATGCATCATTCCATATGAAAAGACAACATCTCGCTGGGCATGTCTCCATGAGACACTGACTGTGCAGTAGCCAAATAATACTGTGTAGTAACACATCACAGCACTAATAGTGCCAATATGCTACTGTGCAGTACTATTAGGCTACTGTGCAGTAGTGTCACTTAAAAGATGTTCATTGGCACTACTGTGCAGTAACTCCAGTTACTGAACATTTATTTAGCACTCACTAATACAGTTAACCACTGTGCAGTAGCGTCTCATATAGATGCGCCCCCTTTGTACCACTGTGCTGGTGTGATCTAACACTGAACACCCATTTTCACCAAGCAAAATGGGTCTAATCCAGATATTCGTACGTGGTATGTATAACAAAAGACACAGCAGTATGTACAAAGCCAATCTAAGTGAACTGAATGATGCTATAAGGATATCAGTTAAAATATGTCAAAAAATGTTCAACCCCACGTTAGCTTGTGTGTTTCCTGTATTTTAGTCATGTTGTGCATAAAGACCTGTTGTTACATGACATTGCAATGTATAAGCATCTAAAGGCTACCGTATGGTACACTACAAAATTGAGCTCCACCAAATTGCACTTGTACAGTCTGTATTATCACACTTTCTTCTGGCAGTAGTTGGTTAAATTTTATATGGATACAGATCATCTGAGATGTAATGATCAATCAACATAACCTGAATTCAACGTCATTGCACTGTTTGCAAAACTGTATTTAATTCTGAATGGGTGCAGAAGACAAAGATCATAAAAGGCTCTACTTTTCTGAGCTGCATAAACCTATCACCTGGCTCTATGTTACCATTTATGTCTATCAATATACCATATCTGTTATTGAAATTGCATAGTTATTGCATAGCGTCTGTGATACCTGTCACTGTACACTTCTTTTAAAATGGCAATAACTAATTTGGTCAGACATGAGCAACTGCTGCCGCCTTAGTCAGAGGGGGCACGTCAGTGAGCGGCGGGGGGGGGGTTCCCCCATGGCTGACTGGGTGGGGGGGTGCCCTATGCGTTGCCTCTGTGGTCAGAAAATAGAGGACATTTCCCATGTATTCAAAGGAAATAAAAAATATATATTCTTTTAACAGAAAATGAGAATTTTCACTTTCAACAAAATTGACCACTTTTCATTCAATTATATTTACCAAAAAATTTTTACAAACCTCTGCTGTGATATATGTCTGGTGATAAGCAGCTGGACACTCGGTAACTGGGGGCTTTGATTCGTAATAGTGTGTGTACTTTGCATCTGTTTCTGTTTGGAAAGATTATTTTATGCTGTGTATAATATCAACCTGAGCCACAAATACCTTGATCATTGCAGAGGAGAAGTGTGTTTTAATTACATTGGGTCCAGAAGCACTGTTTGCAACATCCCTACAAATAACCTGAGCAAACCTCAATAATCATTCATGTAATGGTATAAACTAAATTCAGACCTATTGACTTCAGATGTAGTTATATCAGGGATTAATTTTTTCAAATACATTTATTAAGGGAAAGAATTTAGGCAAAGCTTATGTATGAACATTTACAGAACTTATATTTTATTATTCCACCTGCCTAACTACTGTAGATAATAGTGTTCAGATAGCCGCTTACTGTGAGATTTTTACCTGATTAAGGTGTTCAATAGTGAAAAGAGGGAAAAGCATATGCTCCTGAAAAGCTGAGGAATTAAACATAATAGTACAGTAAATGTTAAGAAAAGTGTAAAAGTATCCTGGCAGAAGCCTAGCTGTAACCTAACCATCAGATTAATGTACAGTTGCCTATATTTTTGCTAAATTAATATTTTTTTCTTTTTTTTTTTTTTTACTACCATGTAGTAGTCTTAAGCTGTCTATGTCAGTCTGAGGTTCTTGAATACTCTGACTTTTGCAATGTAAACCTTCTTTGTTGTTGACAGAATAACCTCCCTTGTACATATTTATTTATTTGTGAGGTTAAATATGTCAATATATATTTTAGCTCAAAAAGTGTGTACTTCTGCTTCATCATAAGAGGAGAGATAAAGAATAATTTTGTATATATTTTTCCAAACACCTTGTGAAAAAATTTACTTACTGCAGTTGTATCTTTTACTAATATAAGGGGAAATGACAGTATACTTTGAAATACTAGTCAGTGGAAGTTAATGTAACAGTTTGCCTGAAGTGGAAAGAAATATTTTTTGAATAAACCTTCATTTTGTTAGAGTTCCAAATAATTAAAATCTTGTAATAGTGGTTTTTCTTTGTTAAAGTTCAATTGGAAAACTTATTTGGTGGAATGCTGGAAAATAGTCTTGTGTTTATTAAGTATGTGAGACAGGGATATGCCTAGCCAAAACTCTGGGAATAAGTGTGCAAGACTCTATCCAGACCATGAGGAGAATGTATTTTACAGAATTCAGTTTTTCTTGTTGTGATTAATTCAATGCCAGATCCAACGAATGATCTAAAAGTTATGTGGTTCATTCATTTAGTGTTAACAGTTATGTCAGCACATCGAAAGGGGAACAAAGACAGATATACTGTCTGTTGGCATGATGCTTTAAAAGGAATACAATTAGATCATTTAAAACTGATTTATACAAAGGTAGTTATTCCCATTTGTTTCAGCAGGCAGAAAATGCCATTAGCCGTAACACCAACATTTTAACAGGGTATCAGTGGAACATATTCTGACTAAGCGCTGCTAAATATTTTGCCAACCTACCTCTTAACTAAAGCATGTTATGAAAATACACACATGGTTTCCCTACATTCTATTCAGGATTCTCCTTTTGAATATAATGTATCTGCATTTCTCTTTCTGATGAGGCTCTAATAATTGTTGGATTTTTTGTGGGTTTTTATTTTAGAAAACAATCAAACAAGTTGTATGCAGTAGGTAGAAAGCGAGGGAGAAAATGTATTTGCCACTAACAGGTAGAGAAGCATGTATATGTATGCATGTAAATTTGGTCAACTCTAGGGCTGTGCAAAGCTTGGGTCCCTGATTCTATTTGGCAGAGATTCAGCCCGATTCGGTGGCCAAATCTCCAAATCCGAATCGAATCAGGAGACCCTTTAATCTCTCCAAATCGAATCAGAACCCTAAATCGATTCGGATTCGGAGATTCGGACATAGCACAACTTTAAATATTTTTTCTACATACCTCAAGGTACCAGGCAGCCTGTCAACACTGCGATGGTGGTGTGGATGCAGCATCCCACAGGAGCGCGGGAGGGTCCCCAGGGCACGTGGCAGCAGACCTGGAAGTGGACCAGAAGCACTTCCAGTCCACTTCCAGGTCCACTGGGGAGTGTACGGGGGGGACTACCCATGGCCCCCTGGCTCAGCGACTGGTGCCTCCTGGGTCTGGGGGGCACCCGGGGTCCCCCCCATGGCTGATCGCCAAGCCAGGGGTGCAGGGGGGCCCCCAGCATGCTCAGCAGTGGACCCAGAATTGGAATGAAAGTACTTCCGGTCCAATTCTGGGTTCACCACCAAGGACACTCCATCTGCCCCACCATCACAGTGTTCACAAGCTGTGCCTGGTACCTCGAGATGTGTAAAAAAGACATTTAAAGCTGTGTCTATGGCCCAATCGCTGATTCTCCAAATCAGCATCAAATCTTTGGATTCGGCTGAATTAAATCAGGGGCAGCAATCCGAATCAATGAACTGAATCACTGTCCCCAATTCAGGCTGAATCCGAATCAAATATATCCCATTTTGCCCACCCCTAGTCAGCTCCTCCCTTAGGCCTTCTGTCCTGATCTATGGGTAGATCCTGCGTCTGTTTTTAGTGGCTGTGTCTACACGAAACACTGACTGTGCAGTAATCAAAGTTACTGCGCAGTAGCATTGCTGAATGGCTTAGGTGATCCTGACTGTGCAGTAGCTCGTTACTACTGCGCAGTAACATCACATCACACTTCCTGCCATGTAATGCTACTTTGCAGTAGTAATGAGCTACTGCAGTCAGCAGCTTGTGTAGACCTGGCCAGTGTGCCTTACGCAAATGCAACTGCTGATCATTGTGGAATATTTTGCAGGATTAAGGCATTCCCTTATCAGTATTCCCTTAGTTAGGATTTCTTTTAAACTCCTAGATTTATTGAATCTTCTTCTGAAGCATCCTCCCTGAGAATCCAGATACTGAATTACATGGAGGACTGGTTTATGGCGACATGTATATTTGCATGGGTTTGTAAACTACTCCATTGCTTTTATTCAGTCTTGGATTTCAATCAAGGCTGAAATTTATTAGTTAGAGAAGGAACTTCCATACCTTCCACAACGTTAGTCTAAAATATCCTGGTTGTTCAAGGAGATACAATACCTCTTGTGATGAAAAATGAGATTGAATATGCTTAGACACCACAATAATAAAGGCAGGAAAATAGCTAGAACAGATAATTAGAACTGATTATATAAACAGAAAAAAGGTAACTGTCAGACACCCACATGCACATACATCCACTTCTGGCAGCTGAATTCCAATACACCTTTAAGGTACTGGACTGATGTATTTTCTGTACTGTATGGTAAGATTTAGTATTTGTCCATGGATATGAAGCAGTATTTGTCTGGCATACTCATAATGATGAGTGTTGTGATCATTTACTTCACAGAGCAAATAGGAAGGACAGTAGCAGTGGACCATAAGGATATTTGAGCATCACAAATCAGGCATGGACCTGGCTTAACGGCTAAAATGGGCACTCTGTATCTCAAATGTGTGAGCGAATTTTACCAGAAATGTAGCCAAAGAGCACTTCAAGCTTAGAGTAAATATGGTTGACAAATAGAGTCAGAAATTTCCTTTCCAGCTGTGCCTGCAGTCTCAAAGTCTTTGCCCAGTCTTAAACCAGACTCTTCACACAGGAGCTTGAAACTATTGGTGCTTCTGATAATAGCTCTGCATCTCCACAGGGAGGCACCCCATCACTAACAATCTACGCCTGCCCTCCCCAAAAATTGATTTCACTTTTGGCATCTTACTCTACCTTGGACCTCTCGGGAACTCTTTTCTGATTCACTATTAGACTGGAGAGAAGCAGAAAAGGAAACAGGAGCCTAGGGTTCTTTACCTGCTGTTTAGCTAGCTCTTTCAGTCCCTGCAATATTTTTTGTTATAGCCTTCCATTTTCAAGCACTATAAAAATAATGTTAAAAAACAACAAAAAAATCCAGGGT